TGCTGCTGAGAGACACCCACCGGCATAAGAGTGGGTCTCCGAGATTTTCGTCCATTTCTCGCTTAAGGGTCCGCTCATCGAGTGTGTCGGCGACCACTGCGAGTTGCTTACCGAAGACGATCTCTCAATGAGCTCTGCCATTTTGATCATCGGCCAGTGTGAGTCGTAGAGCGGAATGATACTCGTGCTTTCGAACGTCCGTCCCTTCGTCGACTCGGAACTCAACCGCCCCATAAACTCCTTCAGGCCCGTGTTCCTCGCGCTGAACATTTCGATGTTCGCAACGTCTATCAGGATGAGCAGGTTTATCTCACCGTCTTCTGATTCCCGGATTCTCCTCTTGATGCTGTCCAGGACAGAACTGGCTCCTGAGCTCTCGACATCCATTATCGACATTATCGTCGTGTAGAGCCCTCTTCGTCCTTCCCCTCTTTGCGCCATCTGAGCTCACCGTCTGAGCACACGCTGTGTTTTTCGCTGCGTCACCCGACGTTCAAGAGAACACAAGGCTTCGCTGGCTGATGGTCTTGAGCCAAAATGGCAGGGTTTAGGGTTTAGGGTCTAAGGTTTAGGGCTTCGGGTTTAGGTTTAAGGGTGTTTAGGCTTCAGAAGTTGTGTTTTGTGTGTGTGTGTTGCCTCCCGTTTTGTAGGGGTTTAATTCTAGGGTTTTGGATTGCGGACTTTGATGAAAGCCTACACCGGAACCACGTCCCAAAAACTGAAGGAATGCCCCCTCGATAGGGTTTCAGAGTTCAGGGTTCAGGCTTAGGGCTTTTGGGCGGCCATCCTTGCGTTGGAAGGCAATCCCAGCTCCATGCGAGGGCACGGCAACAGTAAGCAATTGAAATTCGACCTGGACGCTGATTCCTGATACCTCATGGTGGTTTTCTTGAAATCCTCTGAGACAAAATACGCTAAGCATCGCAGGACCTTCATTTTCTGGGACTCAGTAGGGGTTGACGGACCTGTATGGCTGGGCTACGGATCATACGTTGGCGAGGCGCCTGGAATTTGAAAGACCACTTGGAGTAGGGGTTTCTGCATGTAGTTATAGTTTAGGGTTTATAGAGTTTAGGGATTATAAGGGTTTCGACTCGCGCAGTCGCGCCAGGCACGGGTTTAGGGGTTTAGGGTGTATAGGGTCAAAGGGTTCAGGGTCTTCCGTCTTCAAGGGTGAGGAGTACTGTCCTGCAAAGGCCTGGTGCCGTTAGAAGATACCATGCTGAGGTCTCTCAGGCTGATGATCTTTCAAAGATCTTCAGAGGGTTTGGGGTTTAGGGTTTAGGAGAAAATCGAGAATCGGAGGTGACGCCCTGGGTCAGACCGGGCAAGAATGTGCTCAGTGGCGAGCTTGAGCCGCATCAGTGCATCAACTCCGCCAAGTGAGCTTCAGGGTGACGTGGGTGAACAGTCCCGGAACCTACCCAAATTTCTGGGAGCTCCCTTGTGGGAGCTGTGATTGGGCACTCCAAGCATGAGCGATGCTGTCTATGTGAACAGAGCAACCAGGGGCCGAATCACAATCATGAGATCAAGTCAGCATTCTGCAAAAGCTACACTTGAACAAGTGCTCCTTGTTTGAATCATAGTCCCATAAGCCCTACAATCGTGAAACGCCTTGCTTCTGCAACCAGCCCCCTTCATCCCGACAGAATCTGGAAGTATCTAGTTGTGCGTGTGTGTGTGTGTGTGTATGTGTGTCCAGAACCTGGAAGCAGGGCATGCAATACGAGCAGAGCAAGTTTACGGCTCTGATTGCGTGGGTGTCCGGGGCTCCTTCTGTGTGAGCCTCGCTTGTGGTGCCTGGAGCGTCTGTCAAGCGCCAACAGAAAAAAGCTTTCGGGCTTTTAAGTGCAAGCTCACCTTGACATCGCGTGGTACGGCTTTAAAATTGAGGAGGGCATGTTCGGGGCGAGCATGGCCTGGGGTGAGGGTATAGGATTTATTCTCACGGCTCCATATTGCTCCGAAACACAGGACCAAAATTCCTAGGTCCTATGTAGTCTAAACCCCTAAACCCTAAAACTCTGAACGCAAATCCCTCAGACCTGAAAATACCCTGAAAACAATCCCAAAGCCAATCGAGTCCGGACAGCTTGGTCCGAGATGTTTTCCAGCAGCAGAACAGCTCGGAGGTGCCCACAGGACAGAAACTCTTTAGGGTTTACGGGTTTAGGGTTTGGGAAAGTTTAGAAAACGAAGGATCAAACCCAAACTGAATAGCTTGAGACATTGTCTTGGGCTCAGGGTTTACAAAGGTATTGCGGTCCTGCATTTAGGGCTTATAAACCATCAACTTCAAACTAAGCCTTCAACCCAACCCCAAACCCTGTGCCAGTCCGACTATCTGTCGATCTGTGGCAAACCAGATATTCTGCGCTAAAGCTCTTTGTAGGCAACCCTCAACACCCTTAGGCCCTGTGGGCTCCGCCAGGGAGTCGCTGGCTGCAACTAGGTCTTCGGGCTCAGATAAGAAGATGGAGCTGTGAGCATGAGCATCCGTAGGCTAACGGATCCTCTACAGGGTGTGTTATTTTGCATGGGGTGTCCATGGGGTATCTGCATGGGCTTGGACTTCTACCGCAAATGCAAACACTGTTACCCTGCATGTACATGCACATACACGCACACATGTGCGGTTGCACACATTCGTATAGGAGTTTGTGTGTATTGTGTGTGTGTGTGTTTGTTTGTTTGTTTGTGTGTGTGTGTGTGTCTGTGTGTGTGTCTGTGCGTCTCTGTGTGTCTGAGCCTGTCTGTCTGAATGGAATGTTCGTCTGTCTTTCGGGCCTTTGGTCGGCCCGTCCGTGTCTGTATGTCCGTGTGTCTGTGCGTCTGTGTACCTATGTGTCTGAGTCTCTGTGTGCCTGTTCGCCTGTGTGTGGGTGCGTGCAAGTGTGTGTGTGTGTGTGGGTCTGTCTGCTTGTATGAAGAAGGTATAAGTAGCTGCAGGCATATGCCTGTGTGTGTGACTTGACAAACTATTACGACACCATCTATCTATATATTATATATGTGTCTGTGACCGCCTACACGGCTTACAATTTATCATCGAGAGGGAAAGAGATGTCGAGACACGCCGATAAAATCACCGAATCGCAGAATAAACGAGACCGAGTGAAAGAGGTATAGAGAAGCCGGACGAGGAGAGACAATAAGGCAGGGAGGGAGAGAGAGAGAGAGAGGGTGCGCACATGGGATTGTCAGGATCCGGGGCCTGGCTTCCGGGAAGGAGGTTTGGGGATGCTCCGTCTAAATTCCTTGCACGGCTCCCATGTAAACTAGTATGCAGTGTACCCCTATCAGAAGCCTCGAAGGGGTGAAGTTCGAAAATTCGTGCACATGCAAACCCCTCTGTACAGGGCCAGAGTCAGCCGAAGCCATTTGGCAAAGGCATGTGACGGGTGAGCCTGTCTACACTACAGCCCTTCGATGAAGAGGTGGAGTTTAGGGGTGCTTGATTTGCGGGTTTGGGGCTTGGACTGGGTGCGTCTGGGAATTACACTCTCGGTTTCATTTCCTGCCCTGAACCTTTCCCACTAGATCCTAGACTTCATGTTGCTAGTCAACCGACGGCCCGCTGTCGGATGCTTTCGAGCCGAGCTTGGCCAAGGTAGGGGCGATGGGTTTGGGGTTTGAAGTTGTGTGATGACTTGGTGACTTTGTCGGGTGGTTTTGGTGCTTTCAACCCGACAAAAAATTAAATTGGCTCAAACCGCCAGCCTTTCTAAGAAATCCTTCACCTGGGCGACTTTGGCCGCATCCTCCATATGCTGTCGCTCCCTCCGCCTGGGCACATGCCAGCTGCTTTAGGGTTTAGGGCCGCTTTTGTAATTTGAGGGTTTTACGGTGTAGGTGTCGAGGTGTAGTCTTCCCCGGAGACGTCTTCGCACATTCCAGATTCTTCGACGGCTTTCCCGTAAGTACCATCCTCCCTACTAAGCTAAACGCTGTTTTGGGTTTCTTGTTAGCTTCGGATGGGGTATAATTTCTCCAAAAGGATCGCCTCGCACTTGGAGATCCGCCTTTCTTCATTCGAGCGCCGGATTCAAGGTTCCCTCCAGCGAATCTGAAACTTCCCGACGCCACACAGCTTGCCCACACAAAGTCTAAAGCAGCATCCAGAGCTCAAAAGCCGAAACACTGAAGCCCTAAACCCCCTAAACCCCTTTTTTGAACCCAGACTCTGCCAATCAGCTGAACCC